ATGAGAGAGTCCTTCCCCGGGAGCCCTCCGTGTTAGTCCAGCCGGCTTGCAGCTGCGGCTCTGGCCCAGGCAATCCACCATGGCAGGGGACCGCTCTGCCGCCACAGCTTCCAGATACCAACCGGCCAGCCTTCCGTGGGATGCATGCGTCTATAGCAACTGCTACTGAGAAGAAAATATTTGGAAGCTCTGTCAATACATCAAAACCCAGGGCGAGTTTCTGTTAGAAGAATTTTATGTTATCTTCATATCAAGACAATACCTACCTGGAAACGGCAGATCTGGAGATGGGCCTGTGGTCTGGGATTACCGTGTTTTTGCTTCATGTCACCAGCAGGAGAGGAGCTTCATCTATGATCTGGACATGGCCTTGCCATTTCCCTCCCCTTTGTCGCATACGTGGAGGCTGCCTTCAGGTCTGATGCTGACATGCCCGTACAGTGTAGACCATTCTCACATGAAGGACCCCAGGGGGAACTGGAGGCAGCCGGGGGCGCCCCACCAAATGTATCCCTGCATTGAAACTGGAGATTCCACAAGGAACCTGGACAATTTATTAGCATGAATGCCAAGGTGGGCTGGGGAGCTGTCTACACAGTCAGAATTTGTACACACGGTTTGTCAGTAAAAACGACTGAACCTGACCCCAGGATCTAGAAACGGAGACATTGTAGAACACACACCATCATGCCTGGCTGCACTCAGGAGGGCTATCATGCACAGCTAGCTTGGGAATTTGTGTTCTGTTTTTAAAAATTCCGTCGGGTTAAAATATGAGTGCCTATAAATATAGTCTAGCTAAATTAAGAGTGTATTTTTTTGGATATGTCAAGCCGCATCTTAATATATAATATGTAAGTGCCATTCCTATAAACCATTTGGTCAGACACAGGATGACTGCCAGTGGTTACTCCCTGCTTAGCGGTGTGGATGTGGAGCCTGCTCTCTGTGTCTGTTCTGTGGGTTTCTCAGCTCACCAGCCACCCTGGAAGCCCCTTGAGGGCAGGCCTGTGACTCATCGCTCCTTGAATCTCTGATGCCCATAAGAGGTGCCCACAAAATGTTGGCTAGTCATCATGCTGCTACTTGAAGAGGGATGATATTATGAACTGAATCAGCAATAATTCTTTGTCTTTATGGGCTGGTATGTTCTCTAAAAAGAGGTCAGCCCTATGGCCTACTTATGTAAATAAAATTGATTGAAAATGTTAAAGAAGGAAAAGATCAAAGTGGATGTCAGAAGAGACTCTGACATTTTTAAAATGTGGAATAGCTAAAGAAAATAGAAGAAATGATGACGTAAAAGAGCTACAAGGAAAATTTTGAGAAGCCAAAGTAAAATATTATAATGAAATATGCAAAGGCCTGGAGGTAGAAGCCGAAAAGGAAGAATATGCTTGGCATATTTTTAAGCTAAAAGAATTGAAAATTCAAGCCTTGAGTTACAATCTTGAAGGGTTCTATGGGCAAAATATTGAATGATCCAGGAAGCATCAAAAGATGATAGGGTTTAAATGGAGAGAAAATGTTTTGAGAAACGATGTACAAATGCGCTTTACACAATTGATGTGTGTATGGATTGGGATAACAGTTGTATGAGCCCCTAATAAAATGTTAAAAAAATAAAAAAAATTAAAAAAAAAAGATCTCCAAGAAAAAAAAAAAGACGATAGGAGGCCTGAGGGGGCCGAACAACGGAAACGTGGGTGAAGGGAGACAGAGGACAGTGTAAGGGATCAAAATAATAATTTATAATCAAGGGCTCATGAGGCTCAGAGGGGGGCGGAGGGAAAAAAGAGGAGCTGATACCAAGGGCTCATGTAGGAAGAAAATGTTTTGAAAATGATGATGGTAACATATGGACAAATGTGCTTGACACAATGGATGGATGTATGGATTGTGATAAGAGATGTAAGAGCCCCCCATAGAATGATTTATATTTAAAAATCAACATGATGGGAGGAATGCAGTCACTGAACCAAAAAGAATTGGTTGAAATTCAGCCATTTTCAGAAGTAGGATACGATCACGAACTGATTATTGAAGGGCGAAGCCCAGACGGCACTGGAGTCATTAGTAAAACACAAGCCTCCGGGAATCAATAAACACCAACAGAAATGCTTCAAAAAGCTGGTGAAGCACTGGAAGCACTCATTCAACTACACCAAGAAGCTCGGAAGACAGCTACCTGGAAAACTAGAAGAGATCCATATTTATATCTGTTCCAAAAGATAATTATTGAACAGTATCTTTAATATCAAGGGTCTGTGGTGGTGTAGTGGTTACGGTTTGGGAGTTGAGCGGCGGTCTGCATGGTCGGCAGTTCAAAAACCACCAGCAGCTCAGAGGGAAAAGACTGGGGTTTCTACTCCAATAAACAGTTACAGTCTCAGAAACCCAAAGGGGATTGCTAGGAGTCAGTTTTGACTCAATGGCAGTGCATTTGGTTTTATTGGTTATCATTAATATCACATGCATGTAAACTTTTGCAAAAGATCATTCCAAAATGTTTGCAGCAATCACCAGGGAGCTATCAGAAACTGATATGGAACAAGGGATATTATTGTTGATGCGGCTGGATCTGGGCTAAAAGCAGAGAATACCATAAAAAGATGTTTACATGGGTTGTATTGACTATACCATGGCTCGGTCAACTTTTGAGACAGAAAAGCCAATTAAAAAAATTATTTGAGAGCCATAAATATATTTTACACACAAATGAAATCATCATTATCTGAATGTGTTAGTCAGGGTTAAGTAGAGAAACAAATTGATAGACACTCTTATGTGTATAAGAAAGAGCTTTATATACAAGAGCAATTGAATATTGAGAAAACATCCCAGGCCAGTCCGGATTAAGTCCCTAAGTCCAATATTAGCCCATATGTCCCATACCAATCTATAAAGTCCTCTACAAACTCACGAAAAACATGCAATGATGCCAAATGCAGAAAGATCACAGGCCAGTGGGTGGAAAGTCTTATGGATCCAGTGGCGGTATAAGCATCTCAGTGCTGGCAGAGGTCTCCACCTGGCTTCTGCGGCTCCAGGGCTCCGTGTGTCTTGTCAGCAGGAATATCTTTCAGGGAGTTGCGTGTGTCCCGCATCCAGCGAGCTAGTTATCTCCTTAGCACCTCCAAATGAGGTCATCAAGCTGAGACCTGATTGACAGGCTAAACTCCACCCCTTCACTCTTAAGTCTCAAATTGACATCAGATGATGTAACTACCACACTGAATAAGATTTTTAATAATTTGCCGTTTTATCTCAGAGCCACTTATGCATACTGAAAGTGTTGCATATGGCGCCGAGCTTGTTTGCCGACACCTGACCTAGATAAAACCGTGTCGGGAGGCAGAGATGAAAGGCCCGTCGAAGTCAAGGACAATAGCTGACAAGCCCCAGGGAGCTGGTCCTTTGGCTATGATGAAGGCGCAGATGTGGATGAGAGAGTCAGATCCTTCATCTAGCATGACAAACTTCCCAAGGACCAGTCAATATCAGGGATCCGTCCGCTCAGGCTCAGGCTCAGGCGGCCCATTTTCCCTCAAGTACAGGTTATGGTGTCTAACTCGATCTGCCACATTTGAGACTATACGGCCAGGATGTATAGATTTCTAGGCGTGTGCTTACAGGGCTTTAGGTTCCACTGAGAAGTATTGGTGGAGAGAGTCAAGTACGCCTTCTCTGGTGTGGGTCACATGGGGGTCTTCGAGTCTCAGCCAGCACTCTGCCGGGAGGGACTCGGTGTACCAGCTTTCCTGACCCCCGTGAGTGGGATGAGAGAATAATGGACTCGCTGTTCTCTGAGGGGGAGGGATATGAAGCACCTTGTTCCTCGGAAACATGACAAGCTTTTCTGCCTCACCTTTCCGTGGGAACAGTGCTTATGGACCAGAAAAACAAAATGAAACCAACATCAAAGAAAGTCTGAGAACTTAGGGAGCTTTGGCAAAGAAGCTGGAACTAAGTGTTCTGATGACACTACTCCCCCAGCTCCCAGCACAGGGGCTTCCCCACATTCCTCCCACCCACCCAGTCCTCAGGCTCAGGGGATAGACCATCACCCTTCTGTGCTGCTATTGACCTCAGGTGCAAACGTCTGCCCTCCCATCCTGGCCCAACTGGTTCTCCAGCTCCTAGGAGTCAGAGAATCATCAGCTTCCCCTGGTCCTCTTATCCACTTTGTACTTTTTCTCCGGAGGGGTGTCCAGTGACCAGAGACAGAGAAGAGTCTCTCAGCCAAGAAACAGTTGCATCTCTCATTCTGCAAGTGTTGTAGCTCGTGGACCAGGTGAGGCCGAAGCCCCTGAGGCATACCCAGGGCTAAGGGGGTGGGGATGGCTGAAGGTGCTGGCCAGCTGGGGAACACTGAGCAAGTATCTCCTCTTTCGGAGTGGCTGGATGATCACTGAGCTACCTCCTAGCTCTTAAGAGTGCAAGGTCAAGAACATAGGGCAGGCTAGGGGTGCTGGGGGTTCTAGGCACGGGGCATATAAGTTCACTTCTGCATCTAACCACCTTAACTCTACCAGCAGGCGGGATGACACCACCAGTGGCTTGGCTCCTTATCCTTCAGCTTGTTCTAGGACCAACTCTGGTCCCAGGTTCGTACCTGAAGGATGCCATCAAGGTATTCCAGCATTTATACATCGACTTCCCCCGAGTTGAGTTTGAGGATGCCTTCCAGGGCTACTGTAATGGTGTTATGGGTTATGTTCGGGGAATAATGAACAGATGGGACTGTCCGAAGATCCATTACTTGGTACATGTCCCCTTTAAAACCATCCGGAAGTACTGCAAGCGTAGTCAGAACTTCTGTGAAAGCTACAATCAGTACTGCACAATGACCACGGACTCTTTCCCCCTTACAATCTGCGAACTGACGAACTACCAGTTGCCCATCAACTGCCAGTATAATTCCACCCTAACCAACCAAAAGCTCTACCTGCTGTGTTCCAGCAGGTATAATGCTGAGCCGATAGATATCATTGGTGTCGTCTAAGGGGGCTTTCGTGCTGAACCACTCCCTATCTCTTCCCCCCATATGCCAGCCTTTTCCCATTCTTAAGACGCTAACCTCGGGCACAAGGTGTTCTTCCTGACATTGAAGGCTCTCTTCTCCCAAGAGACCAGGCAGACAGGGAAAATGTCCAGAGCTCCGGCCACTATGTGAAGTCATACTATCTTACAGGCCCTTTCTACCTTGTCTACAGCACTCCCTACTATTCAGCCCCCCCTTCTCCCAGGAACATTTTTATCTGCCAAGAATCCAACTCAGTCTATTTGGCAGTGACTACCCAGCCATTAGGCCAGAGCCTGAATCCTGGATGGCGTTCCAGCGCCTCAGCTCATACGGTGGCCACGAGCACTCAGCTTCCACATTTTACCTCTGCCTGCCACCACCCTTCTCAGCCTAGTGTCCCCCACTCCCCTTTAACTTTCCCCTTACTCACCCCAACCGTGGGGAGCTCTAGTCATAGGAACTTCTATGAAACACAGCTTAGCCTCACTTCCAAGAACTCCCCTCAGTTCTCAATCTACTCCTCTTTAGGAGATCATTGATCCTTCCTTTATGTTACCTGCCTCTGTCCCCCACTGAGTCTCAGCCTTCCTAATGCCTCTGCGACCCTTTAATACAGTTCCTCATGTTGTGGTGACTCCCCCCCATAAACTTATTTTCATTGCTACTTCATGATTGTGATTTTGCTTCTGTTATGAATCGCCATGTAAATGTCTGATATGCAAGATGTATTTTCATTGTTGCAAGTTGAACATAATTAAAGCATAGTGATGAATCACAAAAACAATATGTAATTATAGATTGTGAAATACTTATTTCTAATGACAAATAAATGAAATTTTGTCTTGAAACATGGTGTAGCACGGGTAACCGTCTTAATAGAACAACAGTAAACTGGGCAATGAATGTACAAATGCGCTTTACACAATTGATGTTTGTATGGATTGTGATAAGAGTTGTATGAGCTCCTAATAAAATGATTAAAAGAAAACAACAACAACAACAATAAACTACATTGCTACATTTTGCGACAGTATGTGTAAAAAGCCAACTTTAGGGCAAAGGTTGAGATAGCTTCTTTCTCACCAGATCAGCATATCTGCATGTGGGCGGACTGCCTGGAGGCAGATAGAGGAGCGGTGTCTCCGTTCCTAAGACCATCAGAAACAGGTGTTTTCTGATGGTCTTTGGTGACCACTGTGAAAGGGTCGTTCAACCCCCCCAAAAGGGTTGTGACCCACCGGTTGAGAACTGCTATTCTACTTTGAAATTCAGCACTGCCTTTCCCCAACCTTCCCAACTGCTTTCAACAGGCCGACCTTTCTTTGTTCAGCTTCCTTTCCTTCCAGGCTTCTCACCTTGGCTCACTGGAATTTCAAGTTATCTTCTCTGGCCCATTCCCCTAAGAATTCCCATTTTCCTTTCCTTCCAGTAGCCCCGCCTTAGCATTCCCTAAACTTCAGGCTGCCAATGCAGGGCAAAGAGTGCAACTAGCTGGGGTCATATTTTAAAACCACATAGGAGTTATAGAAGCTACACCTGTTGGGGGAAAAGGGATGGAAGATACATGGGACCGCTCTGTACTGTTTGTGAAACCCATCATTTCAAAATAAAGAATTTAAGGATACATATCTAACCTAGTTCTGATTTAATTATACTTTCCATAGTGCATCAGGATTCCTACTCTTGGAAACCCGGAGGCCACGTACCTCTCTTCCACCATCTTCCAGGGCTACAGTCAGTAGGATCTTACATTCTATGTGTACCATGATGAAGGTGGGGTGGGGTGAAACACGGATCTGGGCTGGGTGCTGAAATCAGATTTTCCCTCTCCCCCCAGTTCTGCTCAGAGGAGCCTTCCCTCCCCTGGGTTGCCTTCTATTGATCGATTCCATCAAACCTTCGTTGCAACAAATTAGGAAGGTGGAGGGACAGGCAAGGGTTCACTAGGTGGCATGTCACGATTTTGGCTTGCTTCCTGTGGACATGCCATCAGGAAGCCCAATAGCGAGAAAAGGACATGGTGTTTAGTAAAGTAGGGGGCATTGAACATGAGGAGAGCCCTCAATGAGATGGATTGACACAATAGCCCAGTGATGGATTCAAACATAAGAACAATCAAGAAGCGGGCAAAACACTGGACATTTCATTCTGTTATCCCCAAAGTCACTGTGAATTGGGACTGACCGGGGAGGGTGGGGGCACTAATAGCAGGTCGATTCAGAATTGTGAATTCCTTTTGGAAGATGCAGTAGGTAGATGCCAGGAAGGTGTGAGCACAAGAAGCCAATACTCTTGTCTCCTTGTCTGGTTCATCGCTAATCTCCAAACATTCCCCCCCTTCCCCGCCCCGCCCCCCCAGTCCTATTATTAGAAGCAGGTGTTCAGGGAGATGCTAGGCGATAACTGAAAGGTATTAGGTGAGTCGGGAAGTGGCTGTGAATGCGGACGCGCCTGTCCTTTTCTTCTTACACCAATGAGCCCCTCGGATCCTCACACCAGTGGGACACAGGGGCCACCAGATGCTGCACACACAGAGGTTTATTGTTCTCAGGATTCCCTGGTGTTGAAGATGTAGGACCAGGAGTTGCCAGACCAAAGAGAAGCTCTCTACTTCTTATCATAGGTGCCAGCCCCCTTGTAGGCACTCACATAGCCTGAGTTGTCAGTCACCTCTTCCCGGCCGGCGATGCCCTTGCCTTTGCCACTTTCATCAAAGCGTTCCTTGTGGGAGCCCGTGTACTTGCTGGTGTCTGTCAGTCGGTCCACTCCACCCACTGTTGTTGCTTTCTGAAAATCAGAGGATCGGTTTTGGTGCCCTCTTTCTTCCCCTCCACTCTCACTTTCCTTTCCTAAGGACAAACTTAGATATTGCCAGTGCTCGCATCCCTTGCTCCGATCCTGGCACGGTGCCTTTTTTTTTTTTAGTGCCTATGTGCAAGAGCTATCCATTCATGAGAGAGGAGTATCTGATAATATAGAGGAATGTGTGGGGTGTGGGATATTGGAGGAGGTTTCCCCAATAAGCAAGGTCCTCCAACAGGAAAGGTCCAATTTCAAACGCAATGTAAAAACTTTTTAGTCCAGAGGAACCAGAAAGAAAGCAGCCAGTCAGAGATGAGAGCTTATTATTCTAAGAACCGAAAACATGAAGAAGGCAGCCAGTCAGAGATGAGAGCTTATTATTCTAAGAACCGAAAAAGGAGTAGAGATCAGACATTTTCCCAAAGCCACCAAGCCCCGGTTGCCTGGACTTAGATACTAGAGCCTTGGGAATTAATCTGAAGTTTATCAAAATAGCTATGGTCCTGGGTAAGTCACTTCTCTTGGAACCACCGTTTCCTCACCTCTGAAATAACGAGATGACTGCTAAGCTGTGTTTCAACACGAACATTGCTGGGAGAGGCTTTGGGCCCTGTCTCCTCCCTACAGTTTTGCTGTTAGCAGGGCCTAGGAGCGTTAGAGGTGAGGTGACGGGGTGAGGGGAGAGACGGTGGCATCAGAAGCAAGGAAAGCATTCGAGTAGGTTGCTTGCCCTTGGAGACTCATGCTCCCGTGGTACCGAAATGAACCACAAGAACATCAAGAGGCAGGGCCAAAGGCTAGAGAAGATTATTACTCACCGTAGCACCCGTCATGGCTGGATCCTTGCCCTCCATGAGTTTATGGATGTTGTCCAGGGCTTCATCGGCGTTCTTCCCCTTAAACCGTTTCTGGCCCAGTTCCTTCATTGCCTCCTGGAACTGTGCAAATGTGATCGTTCTGGCATTCTTGGCCCTAGGCAAGCAGACAGAAATCCAGGAACCCTGGAAGTCGAACCCATTCACCTTCCAAGGCCCTGTCCTTCCCCTTAGTGGGATTTGGTCGCTGCAGTGCTATCACCGGATGGCTTGAAGACACAGATGAGTACAGTGCCAGGTACCCAGTGGATAGATACTCATTGGGCCCACTACAAGGGTTCACCCCATGAACCCTTGCAGGTTGCACTACATTGTTTATTCTCTCCTCTCAGCCTTGCCCCATTCTTCCCCCTCACCTCCCTTCTACGCCTGTGCTTCATTGACTTCTTACTTGACTTTGCTAAACACGATGTCCACGTCAGTAGAGGTGACCAGCTTGCCGTCCATGATGCCACAGTCCTTGCACAGTTTGGAGAAGTTCTTGTTGTTCATTTCCGTGCCGCTGCTTGATGAGTCTCCAAACACAGCAAACCGTTGGAAGGTTTTCTCGGCTTCGGATGCCATGGTCAACTGGAGGTGGAGGAGGACAGTAGGGAGGCCAACTGGGAAGTGAGGGAGGAGGGGAAGGAAGGACTGAGGAGTGGTGAGGATGAAGAGGAAGACACAGTTAGAACGAGGAAAGTGAACAAACCTCCTCCCTCCAGTTCTCTCTGCCCTCTTCGTCCTCATCCCACTTTGAAGGACTGCTTGGCCCTTCCCCACTCGAGGGATTCCAGCATGGAGGCTAGAAAATGAAAACTCACTACCACTCCCCCCTCCTGCCCACCACTTTTGTGTCCCTGAGTGCCCTGGTGACGTCTGACCTCTCCTGGTCTTTGTCTCTGTGTGTGTGCAAATATGTGGGAGTCTACTGACTGGGGTTATTAACAAAGGAGAGACAGCCAGGGGAGGGGAGGCAAGCTTCTATGACCTTGACAGTATGTGTGTGATGTCACTTCCTGTCACAGCTCCAGCCCTCATCTAGGGAAAATGGGCTTTTGGTCTCCTTATCTTATCTGACACCCTGAGAAACTTGATAAACCTTAAGACCTTTCTAGATGGCCAACTGCCCTCATCATTCCACCCAGCTTATCAGTGCTCTGAGCCCAGGTCCGATTGCCTTACGATTTGGTCTGCCTCAGGAGATAAGCAGAGCCTATTGAAGGAGTTAATGATAACTGATTGACATGTGTACAGCATTGCCACTTTTTCTAGCCTTCAGGCCCAGGGATATCTACCCATGGGCTATGGCAGATGGATTTCAATGTTGTTGTTAGGCAAGATTCTCTAGAGAAACAAACCAGTTTACTTATGAGTATACATATGTGTGTATATATATAGGTTTATATAGCAAGAAGGAACACTACAGCTAATTAGTTCACGCAGCAGTACAGAGGGCTCAGTTCAACTCACTTTCGTGGGACAGTTAATACACTGAAGGTCCTTTAACTCACTTCAGCTGGTCCAAGGTCAAGGAAACAGCAGCATCTGCCCTCAAGCAAGACAAGCAGAGTTGGCTGCAGGCAGCAGACACAGGAGGGTGGGGTGGTAACATCAGGAAGATGAGAAGATAGGGTGTAACAGGCCAGTAGTGGCAATCTAGAGGAGCAGGTCCGATGGAGCCTAAAGCTCTAGCAATGCACAGCATGGTGACAGGCACCATGGGTTGGCTCAGTCCACAGGTAGCACAGCACATGGTTGAGACAAAGAGCTAGCTCAGGCTGCTGCACGTTGGTCTGCTCATTAGGGAGAAAGAGAAAAGGAGGCCAGCCTCAGAGAGCCATTTATCTCGGTAGCTCTCCAATCATGCTGTGACCCAACAGGCTCAACTCTGCCCACATGTTCCCACGAGAGCCATGCTGGCACAGGAAACCTAACTCTCTCAGCTACCATTGAGTCCGTTCTGACTCATAACCACCTTAGGTACGACAGAACCAACACCTCCTGGTCCTGTGCCAGCCTCTCAATTGTTGGTTTGAACCCATTGTTGCAGGCACTGTGTCCATCCATCTTGGTGAGGGACTTCCTCTTTTTCACCGAGCGTCAGCCTTACCATGCATGATGTACCTTTCCAGGGACTGGTCTCTCCTGATAACATGTCAAGGGACAGTCGATGGAATCTAGCCATCCTTGCTTCTAAGGAACATTTTGGCTGTTAAAGAAAAACATTTTGGCATAGTTAGGATTCAAATGTGCACCCAGAGCCATTCCGCCCCAAGGACAATGCTTCCTGCACTGTCCAGTAGAGCACAGCCTTTGGAATATCACGGATCTGAGAGGAATCGAGTCTAAGACGGAAAGTCATCCAGTGTGGTTTCTATACGGCTCAAAGACTTTACCAGTTTCTTTTTTTTCTCTGACAGAGGCCCTATAGTTCAGGAGTGGGGAAGGGTTTTTTTTCTGCTAATGGCAATTTGAATATTTGTAACATCATTTGTGGTCCATGCTGGTCAAACTTTAAATGACCTAACCTTTAATATGATGGCTGGAATTGCTTCTCTTGGGGGAGGACATGTGAGGTTAGCTGGTATTGGTGAGTTCATAGGTTTCACACACCCCTCCTATAGATGGATGAACTTCAGAGAGACGAAAAGGGAGCCAACTAGTTTGGTGACTTTCCTCCTATCTGTCACCAATTTTTATTAAATTGGTTTATCTTGTCCTACAAGTTTTTTTTAAAAAATTATTTTATTGGGGGCTCGTACAACTCTTATCACAATCCATCCATCCATCCATCCATTGCAGCCGTTCTCAACCTGTGGGTCGTGACCTCTTTGGGGATCGAACAACCCTTTCACAGGGGTCACCTGATTCATAACAGTAGCAAAATCACAGTTATGAAGTAGCAACGAAAATAATTTTATGGATGGGGGGTCACCACAACATTAGGAAGGTTGAGAACCACTGATTCATTGTGTCAAGCACATTTGTACATTAGTCGCCATCATCATTTTCAAAACATTTTCTTTCTACTTGAGCCCTTCCTTTCCTTCTGTTCCTACTGCTGTCACCATTATGCAAGTTCTGGTCCTCTCACAGCTGGACTACCCTGGCTTCTAAATGACTTTCTCCTTAGGTCTCATCCTTCACCTGCCTCCACTGAATAACTTCTTTTTACCTCCCACATTGGATTAATTTTTACAAACCATTTTTTCCCTGCCCATTCCTCCTGCTTGATAACATTCTATGGCTCTTTATTGCTCTGATAGTGAAAGTTTTGTGTCAATGACTGGGAAGTTAAGATGTAGTAATTTCCATGATGAGATCTCTTCAAAGATGTGGCCTGCTTAGAATATAAGTGGAAGTGTTACAGCTCTTTTAGAATTTGTTTGGCAGGTTTTCTGGTTTTTTTCCCAGAAACCACCCCCCACCCCCCACCCCAACGCCCCCACAAGAATATAAGTGGACAAAGTGGAGAATCTTGCTTACTTTTTTCCCTGGGTCTGGTTCCTGCATCTGGCTCAGTGAGCTCCAGTTCTTTGGACTGGACTTAGCAGCCCACTGTATCACCTATCAATCCTAGGAGGCATCAGCAGCCTGCCATCTCACCTACTGGCTTTGGATTCATTCACCACTGCATCCAGAAGCCTATCGTCTGAACTGTTGATCATCAGCCCCTCCAGGGCCTATGAGAATCTGGAGAAGCCTTCAGTCTGACATCTGACACATGGAGTCAGAACTTGTCTGCTTCTCCAACTGTGTGAGCCATTTCCTTGTTACACACACACACACACACACACACACACACACACACACACACACGTCATTGGTTTTGCTTCTTGGGAGAGTCCTGACTAAGAAAAGGAAAGAGTTGAGCTCAGGTGTCCATAGTCAAGGCTCAAGTACTCCACTGTGTAAAAGACCTTAAACTTTGCACTTGTGCCTAGAAAGAAAATCTTATTTCTTGTACCATAGCTGATATTACTGAAAAGCAAACCCAGTCTTATTGTACGAGAGCCTGAAATAAAATGCCAGCTGAAATTAAAGTGAGGGCATTGATTGGGAAGAAATGGGACCACAAGACTTGGCATGAGATCATATGGGCAGATAATCAGAAAGATGGAAACATTGATTCTTTAAATTCCATTTAAGCACTCCTGCCAACCATCTCTTCCATATGGAGAGATTACTCCAACTTTGTCTGCTAATCCATTATCATTAAAACCATTAACCGTTCAACCTGAATTTGATGAAATTAGCCTAACTGTGCCTGTTGATATGTGCCTGGGGCACTGTTTGTACTATCAGCTGAAGCAGATACCCACAAAACATTGGTGACTATTTCCAGGGAACATCCTTATCATCCATTGTAGTTTCTAGACCTATAATTAGACTTCAGTCCCACTGATCCCTCAAAAGTGAAGTACAGATTGTAACCCAGGAAGAGGTGCAATACTCCAAAAGAATGCTGATTTTTAATATATGTACAAACAAACCTGAAAACCATGTGTGTGGGGATGGCTATAAAAGATGTGGAATAATGGTTGAATCAGCCTGCGTTCATTGATATGTACCTACTAAGCACAGATTCTTTACTCAAAGATTCAACTCAGGACATTAAGAAAGAATCTAACAATTTATTGGGCTGGTTCACTGAAGCACAGATTGTGTGATGGCCTACAATAAGTCGAGTTGAACTACCAGGCCTGCCTTGGTACCCTATAGAAGAAAGTATCCAAAGACTGAGGAAGATTGGCATGTTAGGAGGATTTACCAGGACAGACCTGTCGACTCACACATGGAGCGCCCACAGGTAACACTTGTTACCATAACAGTGAGGCATACATATGTGAAGGAGGCCTTGGCATCCTTGAATATTAGGTTAGTCTGGGTAGACTAGAGAAACCAATTCATGGACACATGTGTATAAGAAAGAGGTTTATAGACAATAGCAATTGACTATTGAGAAAACGTCCCAGACCAGACCAGATTAAGCCCATAAATCCAATATTAGACCATATGTCTGATACCAATCTATAAAGTCCTCTTCAGACTCATGAAATACATGCAATGACATCGAATACAGGATGATCACAGACCAGTGGGTGCAAAGTCTTTTGGATCCAGTGGCAGCAGGAACATCTCAGCACTGGCAGGGGTCTCCACGAGGCTCCTCTAGTTCCCAGGGCACAGGGTCTGTCAGCATAGTGACATCTGTCTTGTCAGTAGAGTGTTTATGAGGGAGTGATAAGAGAGAGAGGTGTCTCCCGCCTCCAAGGAGAAAATACAGGATTTCCCAGAATTCTCAGGGGAAGGCCAAACCCACACAGAGGCCTCATTGGTTATATCTTGATTGACAGGCCAGACTTGACTCCTTTACTCGTAATCCTCTTGTAATAATCCGGGTACTTTAAAGAAACAAATCCACAGAAACTCATGTACAAGAGAGAGTTTTATGTGAAGGTTAAGTGCGCATCAAGAAAACATCCCAACCCAGTGCTGCCCAAGCCCACAAGTCCAACATTAA